ACTTCTGATTGGTCCATTTGTAGTACTTCATTTGCATGGAGCACACTCCTGATTGATTATTTCTCTCACTCCTGATTGGTTATTTCTCTCACTTCTGATTGGTCTATGTCTACAAAGCTTGTTCCTGATTGGTCAACTTCTGTTACACTTTATTTGCATATGATGTTGCAAAGTATAAAACTAGTAGCCTATAAAGGCCTGTGTAAACCTACAGTCCGGCCGGAGCGTAGAGTGTTAACTCTTCTGGGCCTACTGGCGTAATAAATCTGAGTTCTGCAGCTCTGCGAGTGCTGCCTGGTTTCTTACCGGGATCCAGGTTGCTGTCACAACTGAGCTGTAATACCAAGCTGTAACACATTCTTCTGCAACATTTTAATCTGGGTGGGAACAAGATCAAGGTGTATCCGTAGCAGAAATCGGTGTGGCTAGAACACATAGGACAAGAGGGGAGCGGTGGGTAGAGAGGTGGGTGAGGGTACATAAGGCGACAATGAGGAGGTTGGTTTTCACCCAGTCTCGGACAGGAGGCTCTGACTCAGCCACTGACTGCTTGTGAAACGAGGGGAAAAGTTATTGTCCATCTAATGAATGCTTGTTATGCGCCAGCAACTGTCACACCCTGTCTACACAGCAGTCCGGGAGGTGGAGGTGCAGGCGGGAGCAGACTCCTTGACTCCTTCTCACCCTCACTGCACGGAGGAATCCAGGTGTGGACCGGGCGGTGACTAGCCCTGGGTCCACGTGGTTCTGAGCCGTCTGTACACTGAAGGTCCAACTCATCTCTTAGTTCCTTCCGTTCAGGCAGAACCCGTGGTGGATTCATGAGGAAGGAAACAGGCTGGAAACCGCGTGCCAGGCTCAAGGGAGGAGCAGGGCGCCCTGGCCGCCCCGGGACCACGCTCCCCTCACGTCCGGATCCGGCGTCAACCTGGGAACTTACTAGTTCTGCACGGGTTGGGGAGGGGTGAAGCGCGACCGTTGTCAAGGAGACGCACCCCGCAGGCCCTGATTGGCGCAAAACTCTGGGCCAGCCCCTCCTCCCGCCCGCTCCAGGGGCCCCGGGCCCCATTTCCCGAGTGCCGGCAGCCCCCTAGCCTCCTCCGGTCTCCACGGCAACGCCTCCATGGCTGCTCCTCCTTCCCCGGCTCAAGAAAATCAACCCCTTCGTGACTTCTGCGCATGCCCGGGGCGAGCGCGCGCGGGCCAATGGGAAGGCCTGCATGCATTCTGGGAAATGTAGTCCAAAGTCTGGCGCGCCGAGAGGCCATATTTGCGAGGACCAATAGGCCGCTGGCGGACCTTAGATGCATCTTGGGATATGTAGTTCTAGCGCTGGCGGAGCCATTCGAAGACCGGCGTGAGTGGGTCGCCACGGCGAGGGCCAATGGGAAGCCGTCTTTGCCGCTATGCTTCCTGGGAGATGTAGTTCTCGGGTAAGGACAGCAAGGTTGTAGGGGGAACGGACCGCAGGGTCTCTGGGAGTGTTGAGGGGGAGGGGAAAGGATGAGTTTGGCGCAAAGCCTGCCGGGGCATGGAGTCCTGGTGAGTTCTGTGCGCATGTGCGAGGAGGCGAGGGGGCTTGAGGGGCCTCGCCCGGGAGAGTGAGGTGAGCGAGGGGGGTAAGGAGGGAGGGATTGGTGGGGGGCGGTTGGACGAGCTTTGGGGAGAGGTGGCTGGAGGCTGGAGGAGGAAGAGGAGGAGGGATGGGAGATTCGCGGGGGAGGGGATAAGGAGGAG